GGAACCCGATGCCGTCCCCGGAGACTGAGGTCCCCGGGATGTAACCGTCCCGTCCACTCAGGGTCACCTGCATCCTACATTCCAGGACAGGGACCAAAGGGGACACACCATGCCCAGGCCACAGCCACAGTGGCCGCCGGAGGCCGAACATCCTCCAATTTCCATCCTTCAAGGTCCCACCCAGAAAATCCCCAGAGGCTGGGGAAAGTGGTTTCGGGGTCTCCAGGGCCCGGGAGGGGACCAGGGCGTTAAAGAACAATCGGGGCCAAACGGGACCCGCGAGATAAGGCCACACAGCCGCCCGGGGGAGGACGGTCCTGCACAGAGAGGGTCCAGGGCTTCCTGGCCCCCAGCTTATGGCCGCCCCGGGGCCTGCAAGGTCAAGTTCCAGCGGGTTCCTGGTCTGGACTCCGCGGCGTCAAAGGGGAAGGGGAAGGGGAAGCTCCGTGAAAGGGAAGCAGAACGGGGAACCCTGCGGTGGTGACAAAGTTCCGCCATGTGTCAACGGCTTCTGAGAAGGCGCCCGGCTCCCGGCACCTGCTTAGGCTCCAACCCTGGGGCGATGGCCTCCGCTGCCGCCCAGCTCCGGGGGGATGGCCGGCCGGTCGCCTGCGTCCAGGAGATGGGTTAAGAGAAAAAGCAGCAGAAGGTCTGCCGAGGTGTCACCCCAGGTGTCCCTGGGACACCCTGGAGGGAAAGCAGCCCGTGTCCAGAGGGACAGAGCCAGGCCATGGACCACCGGCTCCCCCGGGAAGGAGGAGGCCCCGTTAGGAGGCCGGGACGGGGGATCTCGGCTGAGCAAGGCTGAGCTCTGCCTGGGGACCTCAGTCAGTCCTTGTCCTGGACGGTGTCCCCAGCTGGGGTGGACACGGCCACCTCCAGAGACGGGCGAATCTGCCAAGGTCCAGGGAGAAGGGGCCTCGGAGTCTGGAGCAGGCTGCTGAGCCTCTCCCCTGGGGGAGGACGGGTGGTCGGGACGAGAGGGAGGGCATCCCGGAGAGCGCTGGGGGGACAGGTGACCTGCGGGTGGCGAGGGGTGGCAGGGTGGATGGGCTGGACGCTGGGCAGGTCCCCGGTGAGTGTCCAGGGGGTGAGGACGGGCAGGACTGGACGCTGAGGGTCAGCTGGGCTGCAGGGAGGGTCTGCTGGGGGAGGGGACCCGGGTGGTGGCTCCTGGGGAGCTGGGAGGTCCCTCCGGTGCCTGCAGATGACCAGGTGGACAGCAAAGGGGTCTCCCCCAGGGCAGAAGCCCCCAGAGGAGCGCCCCAGCTCCAGGGCCCAGGTGGTCAGTGGAAGGTGGGGCCTACGGGTGACCATGGGCTTTGACGAGGGATGAGGACCCGTGTCCCCAGGGTGAATGTTGAGGAAGGAGAATCCTGAGCCCAGATGTCCACTCCCAGGGTGTCTGGGAGGGAGAAGCCGCCCGTGAGCCGGGTCAGGAGCTGGACACTGGGGTCAGCAGGGGGAGGGGCAGGGAGCAGGGTGACGCGGAGGGTGGAGGGAGGGACAGAGCTCCCAGCCCCCGAGTCCAAGGGCGTCCAGCAGCTGCACCCTGACCCAGGCCAGCCTCTGGCCGCCCGGTCCTCCTTGCAGTCTGCCCACGAGCCGCCCTGCCACCGGCTGCTCTCCCTCTGCCATGAGCGTGTGTGGGGCTGACAGTCCCGTCCCTGGGGTCACCCGCTGGTTCCCCTTTTCTCTTTCGGTTACTCTTTTCTCTATGATGAAACTCAAAAAAAAAAAATGAGGGTCACAGGCGTCGGCCGGGCTGTGGGTGCAGGGCTGGGCGCAGAGGGGTCAGGCTGGACAGCGGCTCCTGCTGACCCCGGGGGCCCCTCTGCCTGGAGGGGCAGGGCCTGGGGGCCAGCCACCCTCTGGGCTGACGCTTTCCCGTGGTTTGTGCCCCGGGTGCTGGACCCCCGAGCCCCGTCCCCAGCCCCTATTTGGCATTTTATTTAGGGACAGGGTCTCCCCGAGCTGCTTAGGGCCTCCCTTTGGCTGAGGCTGGCTTTGAACCCGCGATCCTCCTGCCTCGGCCTCCCCAGCCCAGAATACGGATATTATTGCTCGACGGATCCCCGTAGGATTTCTTTCACTTTGTCGTGGGCAAAAGGGAAAAATCCTTTAAAACCTGAAAAATCTAAAGAAAAGCCGAGGTCCTCAGGGCTCCCAGGTCCGCCTGGACGTGGAGCCTCGGGCCAGACCAGTGCGGGGGCCGAGGGATACCAAGGGGACAGGAGCCCCACCCATTGAGCACGGCCTGACCTTTGTTGTTTCTGCTTCCTGGAAAGAGGACGCTGAGGAAAGGAGAAGCCACCCACCCGGGAGGGACACAGAGTAGTGTCCCCAGAGACCTCCACGTCCCGACCCCACGTGGGCAGGGGATGAGGGTCCCACACACCGTCTGCGATCAGCCATGACCTGAATTTTCGCTCTTTCTGTTACTGTGACAAACAACCCGAGGAAAATCAACTTAGCACTAAAAAAAAAAAAAAAAAAATCAAAGTGCAGCACAAACCCTGCGGCTTTGTCTCCCCAGTGCCCTGCGCTCCCTCGGGCGGCCCCGAGAGCCTGCTGGTGGCCATCTGCGTCCTTGTCCTCTCCGCGTCGCCTGGACAGGCCTCCCTCGTGACCCAGGAGCTGACGGGTGAGTGCGGGGACGTGACTGTCCCTTTTCCTTGGCTCCCGTTTAGGCGTCTGGGGACGCAGCCACAGCTGGGTGTCCATTGCGTCATCTGTCCCCTACCTGCCTTGGTGACCTGGTGACCCCTAGCTGCAGTCCAGTCGCCCGGGTGCTGCAGGGTTTGGAAAGATGGACGGGGAGGACGTCCCCACCTCTGGCCAGTAGGTGGGGCTGGTGGCCTTTGGATCCCCTGCGTGGACCAGGGGTCAGCGACCCGCTGGGTGGACACCTACCCCTTGGTCTCACGTCCTCCGAGGTCACTTTATCATGAGGCCAGGTCCCCACTTCCGCACCTGCGTGGCTTTTGCAGAACCCGAGGGTGAGGGGGGTCTGTCCAGCTGCGCCTGGGCAACAGGACACACATCCCAGCAGGGTCAAGGAACAGGAGGCCACCGAGCCCTGACTGTCCACCCTCGAGACCTAGGAGATGTCCCAGAGCCCGAGGGAGCAAGCCAGGCACAGATTGGGCGAACTGGGTGAGGGGTGGGGTGGCCAGTGGCCAGTGGCCAGCACTGACAGGACCCCCCACCTGCAGGGACCAGCCCAGGATCCAGCTGGCGCCGGTCAGTCCTGCGGGGACCCCGTGGCCGGGTGGTGCCTGTCCGTGACTATGACCGAGGACCTGAGCCCGGGTCGCTCATGGGGAACAGAAGGTGGACGGAGCCGTGGGCTCTGGAGGCCCAGAGATGCAGCGTCCAGGGCGAGGGGACGCCTGAGGACACGGCAGTGTCCAGGCCTGGGGGACCAGCCCCGGCCGTGGTCACCTGGCAGACGCAGAGTGTGCTGGCCGGGCGGGGGGACATGGGGCGAGGTCACTGACTTGTGGCCATCCCCCGCAGATGCGCC